ATATTGGTCTGAAGTTTTCTTTCCTTGATGTGTCTTTGTCTGGTTTTGGTATCAGGGTGACAGCAGCTTCATAGATCGAGTTTGGAAGAGTTCCCTCCTTTTCTATTTCATTGTATAATCTTAGAAGTATCAGTTAATCCTTCTTTGAAGGTCTTATGTAGCAAAATATTAAACCCTCATCTCACCCTGCACCACAAAAAAAAAATAATAAAATTAAAGTGGATCAAAGACTTGGGCACTACAACAGAGGCTCTGTGCTTAATACAAAAAGTAGGCCCAAATCTCTACCATGTCAGCTTAATAACTGGCTTCCTTAGTAAGACTCCTAACATGCAAAAAGTAAAAAATCAAGAATCAATAAATGAAATGGAATCAAACTAAAAGTCTTCACAGCAAAGAAAACAAGGTGAAGAGACTTTACAGAATGGGCAAAGAATCTTTACCACCAGCACCTCAGATAAAGTATTAATCTCCAGGATTTATTCAAAAAACATAAGTTAAAAAAAAAAAAAAAAAAAAACCAAAGAACCCAATCAATAAATGAGCCAAGGAACTGAACAGACACTATACAGAAGTAATATGATCAGTCAACAAGTATATGAAAAACGTTCAACATCTCTACCAATTGGAGAAATGCAAATCAAAACTACACCAAGATTCCATCTCACTCCAGTCAGAATGGCAATTATCAAGAATACAAACAACAAAAAATGTTGGTGAGGATGTGGGGGAAAAGGTTCACTCATACATAGCTGGTGGGACTGCAAATTGCTGCAACCACTATGGAAAGCAGTATGGAGATTCCTCAGAAAACGTAGAATGGAACCACCATTTGATCCAGCTGTCCCATTCCTTGGTTTACACCCAAAGGACTTACTGTAGTGTTGCAACCACTTCAATGTTTATAGCAGCTCCATTCACAATAGCTAAACAATGGATCCAACCTAGGTGTCCTTAAACAAATAGATAAAGAAAATGTGCCCATATATACATATATATATATATACACACACACACACACACACACACACAATACAATAGTACTCTGTCTTACAGAATTAAGTTGTGACATTTGCTGGTAAAAGGATGGAACAGGAGAATATTTTATGAAGGAAAATAAACTAATCCCAAAGAACTAAATGCTGAATGTTTTCTGATACGAGAATGCTAATTCACCGTAAGAGAGGTGAGGAGAATAATGGTGTTTTGGACTAAAAAGAGGGAAGTGAAGGGAGAGAAGGGAGTATGGAGGTAGGAATGATAGTAAAATGAATCTGACATCATTGCATATGCCTATATGAGAACACGACCTGTGTAACTCTACATCATGTACAACCAGAAGAGAAGTTATGCTCCATTTATGTATGTGTCAAAATGCATTCTACTGCCATGTATAACTAGTTAGAATAAAAAAATTTAGATGGAAATACAATGTGATCCATTCATTCCACTCTTAGTTTCCTAAGAAAAATCAAAGTGCATGTCCATACAAAGATGTGTATATCAATGTTCACATCAACTTCAGTGTAATAGCCCCAAACTGGAAACTCAAAAGTCCTTTCAATAGCTGAATGAATAAACCATGGTTTATTTGTAGAATAGAAAGCTTTTTAACAAAAAAATGAATTACTGATATGTATTACAAAATGGACTAATCAATTATTTTAAGTGGAAGAATCTAGACAAAGAGAGCACTTATTATTCCACTTACATAAAGTTTGAAGAAAAGCCAACATATAGTTGGTTAACTACAGTGGTTAACTACAATGAGCACAGAAAGGATTAGAGGAAGGACTTACAAAGTATGAGAAAATGTAGGGACAATTGATGTGTTCATTTCCTTGATTGTGGTAATGTTTCAAAGATACAAACAAATGTTAATACATATATACTACATGCATATTATGGATAATTGACATACAATTAAGCATAAGGCTGTTTTAAAAAAGGAACCAAAATTTAGAGTTATGAAAAATTAAGGTATTTGACAGATGTTTTCTCAAAAATGGACACTGAACATTAAAAGGAAAAACAATGACAGTTTTTGTTGCCAGTGATAAAACTTAAGCTTTCCAATAGAAATTCAAAGTTTAGGATGCATTTATTTGCTACCAAGAACAGGTCAATACCGAGACAACTTTCTGATGTTGGTTGTGACATTAATGAATAGGATCTTTTGATACTGTATAATGAATTGTGTCATTATTTGAAAGGTCTAAATTGCCTTATAACCTGATATTTTCCAAATGATCAAAGCATGATGCTATAAAATCATGCATGGGTAAAAGATATATTTAAATTTCATAATCAACCAATGAACTCAGGGAGTATGAAAAGTACACTGATGTGTTTCAGATTCTACAATGCAGCTAGCCTTTAAGAAAATTTAGCAAAATCTGTGGTTGGCAGAATTGGAGAATGGCTCCCAAACAGTCCCCACCCCTATACCTGGATCCTGTGATTATGAAAACATGCCACTCTCAGTTATGTTCTGTCACATGTCACAGTTGTACTTAAATCAGGCTTATCTGGGTAGATGTGATCTAATTATATGAGCCCTTTTAAGAGCAGAGAATATTGTCCAGATGGTAACAGAAGTTGAAGTTACAAAAATCAAAAACATTTGAGGGATTTGATATACCAGTGCTGGCTTTGAAGATGCAGAGACCATGTGAAAAGAAATGTAGGCAATCTTATGAAGCTAAGAGATACCCCAGCTGACAAGAAGTGAAGAAATGGGAACCCCAGACTGACAGCTGCAAGGCATAGGATTATGCCAACAATTGAAGGAGAATGGCAATGGGTTTTTTTCCCCCCCAGAGTCTCCAGATAAGAGCTTCATCTGACACTTTGATTTTGGCTTTCTGAGGCACTGGGAATTCAGTCAAGGCTGCCTTCACTTTTTTTTGGGGGGGAGGGGGTGGATGAGAGGTACTAGGAATTAAACCCAACCTACCACTGAGCTATATCCCCAACCCCTTTTGAAACAGAGTCTAAGTGGTTAAGAGCCTCATTTCCTTCCTGAGGCTGGCCTTGATCTTGCGATTTTCCTGACTCAGCCACCTGAATTGCTGGGATTACCGTGTGAGCCACTGCATTCAGCTCTGCCTTGACTTCTAACCCACACTACTGTGAAGTAAAAAATTGGTGTTGTTTTAATCTTCTAGACAGTGATAATTTGTCATCCAGCAATAAATAGCTAATACATTTACTTTAAATCAAAACAAGCTTGAATCCAACTTTTTCACTATTTTTACCCTCCTTCAAATGATTCTTACAGTGAGTCCAGAGTCATTTATTCATCAATGTTTGTTAAAAATAAAACCACCTAATCCTTACATAAGTGATTATGATGTAAAGTATGTAAATATACAAAATGGAATACACTATAGCCAGTCAAATGAAGGTAAAAGTAGTTTATGCCTAACAAAACATTAAAACTGATCCAAATTGTATTTATGAGAGAAAAACGCAAGATCTAATAGTGTTAGAATGATTTCTTCTTATGATTTAACTTAAAGGATTATCTAAAGGATTGCATAAAAGTCAAGGTACCTATATTAAACATCATTCTGTAAAAATAATTAAAAATCTATAAATGGCCAACAAGTTTTTGGGATATAAGTAGGTTTTTCAGTGAAAAGCTTTGATTTAGAATTTTTTTATTTTTCATTACATTTTAAAATAAATTTAAGAAGTATTAACACAAGTTACTTGTCTGTGTCTGAATAAACATTTGCCTGGGTTTCATACAAAACTTTCTTCTTCAATTTACTTAACTTAAACTTGCCATCATGAATTTGCATCCTTGCTACTTTTAAGTATCCATGATAAGGTCATTTGCCTTTCCTCATTAAGTCCCCCCCCCCCCCCCCCCCCCGCCTCACTTCTCATAAGGCATTTCTTATTCACCAGGGGCTTCATTTGCACCTATATGAATGTTAATGTGTACGTATAACATTCATGTCCTAATTTAATTATACACTATCCACTGTTCTTAAATTTTTATACTGTATCTTTTCATCTTTTCACAGTACTGAAATTTGTATTAAGATCATAAGTAGTACAAATCATTCCAACATACAATGGACCTGAAACAATACCATGCTGATTAGGATACAGACGATGATTTTTGTGTTCATAGTTATATAGTAACATTGTGAATATTCCAATAGCAGGTAAAGTAGTATGATAAAATGGGACCAATAAGCTTAAAGAGTAGAACAATTATGTAGACAATAATGTAACTTGCCCATTAAATACTAAATACTAAACGTATTTTAATGGAAATAACAAATAGTTTCACATTCCTTTAAATGTCTTCTTTTAAAATTAGTAATTGTTACACATAAAACTTAAAAAGGCAAATACTTTTCATGATTAAATATCGTACTTATAAATCTTATCAAGATCAAATTTTACCTCTGATTGGATTATCAGAAAGATGGATAATGAGAAAAACTTAAAAACACACCATCAGTTTGAGACTTTTCTTGTCCCAAGTTGTTAACCAGAAGACCAGGAGGCATTGAAAGTCACCAGAAAGAAATACAAGAAGTTACTAAATAGTGCACATTTTTGTTTGTCCACATGTGAAAGAAGTTCACGGTTCATACGTGATCCAAAGATCAAAGAGGATATGTGGAGATGCACTTGGAAAACGATACACAAGAAGATATATAAGAAGTGCTATCCTTGCTATAAAGTCACACTAAGGAGACGTTTTTCTACACAGCTTTCTACACATAAACATACTACTGAATTCCATACTACACTGTTGTAAATCTGTCTCAAAAAAAAAAAAATTTGGCTGACATTTTCAAAAAAACAGCAAGGTGTAATAGCCTATAAAACGTTCAGTATATGTACAAGTTCTTATAGGGAAAATGTTTCACAAAATCCTTGGAAACATTACAAGGAGAAATTAAAGAGACTGCACATAAAAAAAGTAATAAAACATAACATTAAAATGTCATTGTGCAAATTTCTCAAATCATTACCTGGAACCAGTTCCATAATGATGTAGACAGGTTGTCTTTGTGTGCAAACTCCTATGAGTTTGACAATATTGGGATGATCGTATTGCTTGAGAATTCTGGATTAGAGAAAAGTATTATTGTCATTTAAATATAAGTGAATGCTTTAGTCATTAATACTTTATTTTTAAATTGTGTGCACAAAATTGTTTAATCACAATTCAATTTTAAAATGTCAATATAACCTCTAATTATAAATAAGATGTAATAAACAAGTATTCATAAATATTAACAAAATATAGAGGCAAGTGGGTCAATTCAACTTAACTGAATTAAATAGCAACTTAACTACTATCTCCTCTGAATGAGTAAAATTATGCTAAATAGGAATAATCTAGTTTAAAAGATGTAGAATTCCTTCTATGTATCTGATTTTAGTACTATCACCAAAAAAACAAAACACACACACACACCTAATTTGTAAAGTGTAATGATCTCTGTAGCATTAAATTTAAATACTTAGAATCATGATCAATTAAAAAATGGTAGGACACAAAAACATTGATAAATTTGGCAAGATGTTAAAAAATCATTGAGTAACATACTAAAGCTGAAGCAGAATAGAGTTAATTTGGTAAAGAGAAAATTTCATCAAAGTCTATAGGAATAACATAGGCTCATCCATAGGATTCATAGTAGGAGCTAAAAATGGATTACATATCTTTAGAACCTTGTCTGCCCCGATTATGTCTTTTACATCCAGATTTTATCCACTGATAATTTTAAATTTGCTCCTATTTGAAAATTGCAGTATTGTTTCCTAGGATGAAAGAAATTTGGGGAAAAAAAGTGTTTCGTGTGTATACTGCTAAAGCAGGATATATTATATATTTTAGACTTAAAATATATAATTTACAAATAAAAAACAGACTACAAAGAATTCTAGAGATCAAGAAAAAATATTGCCATTAACTTTGAGATTATAATTTATACTAGAAAGTAAAGGAAATTTCAACAATATTCAATTTCAAAATATTGTTTCTTAAGTTAGAAGCTGCTTGGTAAAGAAATTGCAAACAATAGCTACTATAAACTCTGTAGTATTAGATAACTAAATAGATTTAGAACCCATTAAAGGACACTAAAAAGTTTGAATGAATAAACTTTCATTTTTAAAACTTTCTAATTTTACTTTAAAAGAAGAAATTAAGGGGCTGGGGCTCAGTGATAGCACACTTGCCAGCCATGTGTGAGGCACTGGGTTCGATTCTTAGCACCGAATATACATAAAATCAAGGTCTATCAACAACTAAAAATTAAAAAAAAAAAAAGCTCTTCACTGTGCAACAAAACAATTATGCTAGAATGAAATTTAAGTTTTTTGAAAATGTTAAAACAGCCTTTTTACCTTAAGAATACCTATGAACAGCCATAAAATAATGAGGCTATGAATTTCAATTTTAAGAGCACAGAGTTTAACTTTTATTAGAAATTCAGACAAAAGGCTCTCCAAATTTTTCTATGGATAATATTTAACAAATGTATCCAACTATTTTTATCCATTGCCAAGACCATTCATTTTTAGATGATGAATGAAAAAATGTACATCAAAATGATCCATGTCATGGGACAGTTTTCTCCTTGCCATCTATTCTCTATTCATATACCACAAAAAAATCTATGGATCTATGTATTCTTTCCCATCATCCATTCACCATTCATTCATCTTCCATCCATATCTCCATCTAGTTTATTCTGTCCAAGTTACCTATTTGTCTTTTATTGTATATGCTGAATTTAACCATTAATAGAATAGTTTTAACTATTTGTTATACAGGGATAGTAAGGTAGAACATTAAATTTTAGCTCATAGGAAAAAAAAATAAAAACAATGTGTACACTTTTAACAAATGCCAGACACTAAACTGAAAAATTTCAGGTTCTCAGAAAGGAAAGCTAGTAACTAGTAAAAGAGAATCAACTCAATATCCAAGGAGAGTAGGATATATAATTATATATCATAAGTATCTTAAGCATATGACAGTAATATTTTTGTTCTAAAGATAATCACATTGCATGTAGACATATCTAGGTGAATGTATGATAAACACAAAAACATTGCTATATTTAAAAGAAGCACAGAATACCCACTGCTTTAAAATACCTGTCTTGTTATGATTGCCTATCAACATATAGTCTACCTTAAAAAACAAATTGTTTCCTCATTATAAAAGTGCTTACTTACGAGGGTTCTGAAAGTGCTTATTTCTACTTCAACAAATCACAATTTAAGATACCTTCAAACTTATATTTTGATTATAAATGCACTATAATGAATAAGTACGTTACAGTGAATTAAAATGCATATTTATATTATTTTAGAGAACTCACTTGGCTTCTTGTAAAAATTTTATTTTCAATTCCTGAGGAAGATCTTCTTTACATGTTTTAACAGCAACATTAGTTTTATCCTTTAATGTGCCCTTATATACTTCACCAAAATTTCCCTGAAAATACAAATTGTTTGAGATGTATGACAGCATATAAATCTTTATTAAATGTAAGGAAAAGATGTTTAAATATAAGGAAAACATAAAATGGGGCAGTTTGAGTTAATCAATTTACTCTGCTAACTTAGTTGTGGTGAAAATACTTGCGAGAATAACAATCAGATTAGTATATAGAAGACAGAACAGACAAGGTATTAATATACATTATTCCTGCTGGGCCTTTACTTACCTGATTCTAAAGCACTTATCTTCAACTTGTCTTAAATTTATCATCCAAGACTCTTCCTGGCTAAACTACTTTCTTCAATTACTAGATCTTTCATTCTCCATGTAAGCACTCAGTTCCTGCCTCTACAATACCTTTGTCTTCCCCTTTCATCTCAGAAAGGTTACCCATAATCAGGATCTTGATCTTATCTTAAATTGCTCACTCTTCCAAACCATCTACCTTAGCACAGCCAGGTTAACCTTTGCTAGAGAAAACTGATTCTACTACTACCTTGCTCGATATCCATCCTTCAATCACTATTACTTTCTTAGCTGCCAACTGCACAGTATAGCCTCTAAATGCTACCTGTGTTCTAAACACAAATACTTAGTAATCAAAGAATATGTGCCATGGTTTTACTACATTCCTACCCTTTATGAAAACCCCCAACCTCCAATGAAAAAAATGCTACCTAAGCTTAAGTCCACTTCCAACACTCCCTCCTTCATGAAGGCTTTGTTATCTTTCCTCTGTTATGTCTCCTGTTCCTGAGCACTCATCATTCCATTGTCCCTTTGTATTTTCCTAATGGTTTCTGCTTTACATAACAGGTCTTGGTCCCGGCTGAGCACTGGAAAAATTTTAAACATTCATTTGACAAATGCTACCCAGACAACTTCGTAGGACAGCCTTCACTCCCTACCATGAAATGAACAAAACTTCATGCCTGCTATTGGACTTACATCCATGGGACAGGTCTCACTATACTTCTTGTCTTTATGTCAATCATAAGATCATGGCCCAGGGTCAATCTTCATTTCCTCCTCTCGCATTTTACACACTTCCATTTAATCCTTGTTTCTCTCCTATAGCCAATTTCCACTGTGCCTTCTGAAATTCATAGGATATCATCAAAATATCCTCAACTTACCCTACAATCATTCCTTTTACCTTATTCTAATAGAAGCCTGTTTCTTACCTGAAAACTACCAAGTGATGAAGAGCTTGCCTGTTTCCTCTAAATAATACCTTCTCCACTACCCCCATATAATTCTACCACTGCCTCAATTTCACATTTTGCTCTGCAAGAGAATCAAATCCAGGCCTGACAAATGCTAGGCAAGCACACTACTCACTGAGCTACTCTCCCAGGATAATCTGTTAATCCTAAATATCACCGACATAAAAACTATGACATTTGTATCTCCGACACAGACATCTCTTTCAAACTGCAGACTTTATACCAATTGTCTTTTATTGTCTCCATGTGAAAGTCTATAGACAAACTCAATATATTCAAAATGGAACACCTCATGTTGTTCCCTCAACCTGGTACATTTACAGCTGAGATCTTTTAAACCTCAGAGTCCATCAGCAATTCAATTATATAGATATATTCAATTATATCTAGAACTCACCACTTCTCATCACCTCTCAGCCACCACCCTGTTGTTGCGTCATCTCCTCCTAAATTGTGTACAACTGCCTTTCAACTTTGAAACTATTTTTAACAGTGACCCTTTTAAAAAAAGATTACTACACTTCTCCACACAAAATTGTTCACTATCTCATCATTTCATTCATGATCAGAGCCAAAGTAATTACAATGGCTTACAGGGTCCTAATGATCTGTACTCTCATCATCTCAGATTTTCCCTTCTACTACATTTCCCCTTCTTTACTCAGTTACACCCAAACTTCTTCCCTTCTCCCTCTCAAACCCCCTGTACTTTATTGGTCTCCCTTCTATTTTCAAGAGATCCCTTTTTAAATTTTTTTCCCCAACAACCCTCTTTCTCTTCCATGTGAGCAGTCATTAGAGTTTTGACTTTATGTTTGGCTTATTTCATGTAGCATTATATTCACCAGTTCCATCCATTTACCAGAAAGTGACATGATTTCATTCTTTATGACTTAATAAAACTCCACTGTGATTATACCATATATTGTTTATCCATTCTTTCATTGATGGATACATAGGCTGGTCCCATAACAGGGCTAATGTGAATTGCTCTGCTATGAACACTGAAATGCATAATGAATTCCACTATTATATGTAATTACCATGAACCAATAGAAAATAATGAATAAATAAATCAGCACATGAAGTGAATGCTTAAGTGACAAAACTCTTATGGGCAGTTAGGGATATAGTACAGGTCTTAGGTTTCAGAGCCACCACTGAGCGGAAAAAAAAAAAAAAACCTTTTGAAGAAACTAAATCTTCATAAACTTAGTGTTATGGTTTGAATGTAAGTATTCCACCAAAATACATATGCTGGAACTTAACCCTGAAGGTTAAGAGATGAGGTTTTGGGAGATAACTTAGCCTTGAGGCATCTTTCACCACAGATGATATTCTTACTCAAATAAAAGTGCTTGAGGTGGGAAAGAAGGTAGTGTCAATAAATGAAAAGTTACGCTCTTATGTTAAAAAATATTAAATAAACTCAAGCTATATAGAGTCTCTTCAAGTATTATTAAAATTGATTAAATTTGGCCAAGCATGGTGGCACATTCCTGTAATTCCAGTGGTTGGGAGGCTGAGGCAGGAGGATTATAAGTCCAAAGCCAGCAAAAGTAAGACGCTAAGCAACCCGCTGAGACCCTGTCTCTAAATAAAATACAAAACAGGGCTGGGGGTATGTCTGTGGTCAGGTACTTCCGTGCCAGAGTTCAATCCCTGGTAAGCCCCCCAACTTGCACCCCCCCAACAATTGATTAAATTTATTGAGACTGACATGCCATTTTCTAGTCATCAAGAAAGTAACCTTAAAGTAGCTTTACTAAGAAGCTAAATTCTCCCTGATAAGCCAAATCTTATAACTTAAAAACAACTGATATATTTTTCTTTAACTGAAAATATTTTTCCATAGTACTGAAAAATCTGTCCAACATAATCTATTTCATTAAGTACTTTAGTTTTAAAATTTAATTGAATTTTCATGGAAATTCATTTCTTGGTAATATTTTTGTCCTGATCACTACTATTGAGTATGGTAATAGAAAGAAGGAATGTTTCCTAAGGAATTAAGAGAGTGTCAGAGTAAATGAACATTATTTTAACTTGAGGTACTTTAGAATTTAAATAAGTTCATTAGCAGCTATACAAATATGATCTCTAACCACAATTTGATGCTTTCACATGGAAAAGGTTTTAAAATAAAAAACATTCTGTAAAGTAGGCTCTCAACAAGGAATTACTTTCTAAATATACAACAGACAAATAAATAGGGGGACCAGTTAGTTCATCAAGATTACATGTGAATAAAATAAATGATTGCTTACTGCTTTTTTTATTTAAAATACTTAGTTTGAATTAAATCTAATACTAATCACTAATAAATCATGATAGTTTACCAAAATATCTGGATTTTGTATTATTTTCATGGTACTCCATAAACAACTCAAACTTTCATATGGAGACATTCATAATTAAGATAGTGACAAATTAATGTTTATCAGAAGTCAATTATAAATTAATAAAATTTCAGTCCATTTAATTATCAAATGTCCATTTTTATTATTAGACATAATTTATCATGGCCTCCAAGTTACGAAAGGCTTCCAACTAGTTTGGAAGAAAAGGAACTTCACTATATAAAACTGCCCTCTGACCACTACTAGAGCTAATTAAAAATGAATATGTTGAAACATGTGTCTTGTCTACATTACTTTGATTTTAAAAAAAACATGTCCAGTGTTCTAAACAAGTCCTGAAATCAAAGAAGCAGTACCTTATTTTTTCTGAACTATTATTACATACAGCCAGAAACAAAATAAGATTATTAGGCTTTTGTTTATACTTTTATTCCCTAATAGGTTAATTCCCTAATTCTTTTCAAATCTCATCTCAGTAGTTTTGGTTTTATTATATGGTAATAAAACCATTATGGCTCAGTCTTTCCAGGGGAAAACATACTATTTTTAAAAGATAGGAATATTGTGGTTCGATCCCACCCAGGGACGTGCTTGCTCCTGGTTTTTAAATACTTTGATCCTTTCTTGAAATTGCATGGAAATAGGAAATTGCATGGAAATGGAAGGAGACCCTCAGGGTTATACAAAATTACATACAAGAGGAAGTGAGGGGAAAGGGAAAATACAAGGGGGAGAAATGAATGACAGTCGAGGGGGTAGAGAGAGAAGAGGGGAGGGGAGGGGAGGTGGGATAGTAGAGGATTGGAAAGGCAGCAGAACACAACAGACACTAGTATGGCAATATGTAAATCAACGGATGTGTAACTGATGTGATTCTGCAATCTGTATACGAGGTAAAAATGGGAGTTCATAACCCACTTGAATCAAAGCGTGAAATATGATATATCAAGAACTATGTAATGTTTTGAACAACCAACAACAAAAATTTAAAAAAGATAGGAATCATCCATAACCCTTTCAAATAGTTACATGTCTATTTCAGTGAAAATCATAGTCTTAACTACAGATGTTTCATTATTGTTCTTCAGGATTAAGGTACAAGAAAAACTTCGAAGGAAAAAAAATCTGCAGTGTTCACTCTTAAGGGTTTTTTTTTGAGGGGGGGGGGGGTGGTATTTAGTTTAGTTGTTTACATACCTTGCCTAGTAATTCTCCCAATGTGACATCTTCATGATTGAGAATCCATTTCTTATCCTATGGGGGGGAAAAAAAGTCATTCTAGTCATTTAGTCCAAGCAAGAGTGTATTTCCTATAGGATGCATTTGAAGCAGTGGAAAATGTACCAAAAAGGATACTTTATTTATACCATTCAATCAACCTCACACTAAGAAGTTATAAGCTCAAGATGTTGTAAAACAGATTTAAGAAATGTTGCTACACAATAGTATATTAAAATCTGCACTGTAGCTGACTTCCCTCAGAAATTTCTGGCTTCAAAAAGATAATATCCCTGTAACTATAAAAGCATGTACTTTCCACCTGCTATCAAGGGTTGGCTATGCTATTATTCTTTCCAAAAACAGTTGTGTTGTAAGTACATGAAGGATTTCTATTTTACAATGTAAAATTTCCAATTCTTAGAATTATTTTTCTATACAATCCATATTAAGAGGTTTAAAAAAAAAAAAGACATAATTTAGAGTTACACCTTTCAATGGCACTGCATGTAGTCCCCTATCTTTCCCAAGTAATTTCCTGTGGCATAATAAAGCAACCAACATCAATTGCAATATCACTAGGATACACAAGATCAGAGATGCAAGTATGCCATTATAAAAAAGCATCCCATTATCTGATCTGAAGAACCAATTACTACTTAGGGAATATTTCATCATGTAAAATGTCTTAGCTATTAAACCACACTCAGGGAGGAAGAAGATGGCGGCGAGGGGAGTGCATTGCCCCCGTGTGCCGTGTCACTGTGTGGGAGTATGACGAGTCAGGACTGCTAAAGGCCATCTTGTTAGGAATTTCCAGCAATAGTGGGGTGCTCTGGAACCTGGAGCAAGGATTTCCATCGCACGAGGATCGGCTACGGGGACTCAAACGTGAGAGATTTGTTGCACGGAGGGTAAAACTGCTTATTCAGCAAATCGCCCCGCGGCTAGAGTCTGCAGCGCGCGCTGGGAAACGAGGAGATAGCAGCGCAGGGATACAGCGCTGCAGTTTCTGCCAGCCGTGCAAGCGCCATACTCAGTGCTGAATTCTGGGTTCGAGACGTGGGAAGGAAGCGGTCCATTTCGGTTCTCCACACCGGTCAGACCACAGAGGAGGCCAGCGGCCACCATATTGGAGAGCTGATGTCACCATCCCTGTTTTCGACTGACCGCAGCTCCTTCAGCCATAGAACAGGTAATTTCAGGCTGCCATTCTCCTGCGGCTTGCAGACAGATTACTCAGGCTCAGTGCCTGAGTGCTTCTTGGAGCCTGCTCTTATCAGAGCATACACCGAGCACGGAGCGGCCAAGTTCCGGCTCCCGGAGCTGCCCTGGCCCAGGGCTACGGAGCCCGCGGAAACTGCTGCTTGGAGCCTGCACTCATCAGAGCATACACCAAGCACGGAGCGGCCGAGTTCCAGCTCCCGGAACTGCCCTGGCCCAGGGCTACGGAGCCTGCGGAAACTACTTCTGAGTCCGGGGCCTGCTGAGGACTGGTCAGGAATCACCCGTTGCTTTCGTTACGCGGCAAAGGGAACAAAATGCTGCTATTTGCATAGGATACCAACATGGCAGAGATCTGATGTCATCAGAAAGCGGCGGAGGAGAGAACTTCATCAATACCAGCGGAGAAAGAAACAGTTGGTCTCCTGGTAGGGAGGGTGAGACACAGACACCCGAGTCTCTCTCGATTTGTCGTCGAGCCAGAGGGGAGGAGCCGGGCCGCCGCCCGCGCCCGGAGGAGGCCCAGCGGCTCGCCGGCGAGGTGGTCGCGTGACCCCAATTGGAGAGGGGGCGGAGCGGAGCCGCCACCCGCGCCCGCAAGGTGGGCAGACCCGCGACCCAGTGGTACACGGGCGTGGTAGGAGGGGCAGGGCAGAGCCGCCACCCGTGCCTGCAAGGTAAGCAGACCTGCGACAGACTGGCAGGTCAGGCCCAGCGGCCTGCCAGCGTGGTACACACGTCACCCCAACTGGAGTAGGGGCAGAGCAGAGCCTTTGCCGGTGCCCGGATCAGGCCCTGCCGGTGTGGTGGTCACGTGACCCCAATTGGAGTGGGGGCAGAGCAGAACCGCCACCCGTACCCGCAGGGTGAGCAGACCTGCGACCAACCTGCAGATCAGGCCCAGCGGTCCGCAGGCGTGGAAGGAGGGGCAGTGCAGAGCCGCCGCCCGCGCCTGCAAGGTAGGCAGACCTGTGACAGACAGGCTGATCAGGCCCAGGAGCCTGCCGGCGTGGTACACATGTCACCCCAATTGGAGTAGGGGCAGAGCAGAGTCGACGCCCGTGACAGGAACAGGCCCAGTGACCTGCCTGCGTGGTAGTCACGACACCCCAATTGGAGTAGGGGCAGAGCAGAGCCGCCACCCATGACCAAAAGGTGGGCAGACCTGCGACCGACCGGTGGAACAGACCCAGCGGCCGGCAGGGGTGGTAGGCACGTCACCCCAATTGGAGTAGGAAGAGAACAGAGGCTTCGCCCGTGCCCGGAACAGGCCCAGCGGTCCGCGGGTGTGGTAGACAAGTCACACCAATTGGAGGGGGGGCAGAGCAGAGCCGCCGCCTGCGCCTGCAGGGTAGGCAGACCTGCAACCGAATGGTGGATAAGGCCCGGTGGCCTGCTGGCGTGGTACACTCGTCACCCCAATTGGAGTAGGGGCAGAACAGAGCCACCGCCCGCGCCAGGAACAGGCCCAGTGACCTGCCAGCGTGGTAGTCACGACACTCCAATTGGAGTAAGGAGAGAGCAGAGCCGCCGCCCGCGCCTACAAGGTAGGCAGACCGCCGCCCGACCCTGCAAGGGAGACTTTTCAACTATACAAGAGCAATATAAATATATAGGGGAAAAAAAACATTTCAAAAACACAACAGTTTCACCAAGCAGAAAGAAACGCAAGCAGTATGAAAAGACAAGGAAAGAAAGGACCACAAGCAATGCAGGTCAACGCAACTTTAGAAGAGGTAACAGCTGCAGCAGATGGAATGTCAGATAAAGAATTCAGGATATACATGCTTCAGATGATATGGAGTATCAAGGAAGACATTAGACAGCAAAATCAGACAATGAAAGATCACTTGGACAATGAATTACATAAACAAATCCAAGAAGCAAAAGATCAACTATACAGGGAGATAGAGGTTATAAAAAACAAACAAACAGAAATCCTAGAAATGCAGGAAGCAATAAGCCAACTTAAAAACTCAATGGAGAATACGACCAGCAGAGTAGAACACTTAGAAGATAGAACATCAGACAATGAAGACAAAGTATTTTAACTTGAAAAGAACATAGACAGCTCAGCAAGACTGTTAAGAAACCATGAGCAGAACATCCAAGAAATATGGGATAACATTAAGAGACCAAACTTAAGAGTCATTGGGATACAGGAAGGTATAGAACTCCATACCAAAGGAATGAGCAATCTATTCAGTGAAATAATACGAGAAAAACTTCCCAGACATGAAGAATGAGACAGAATCCCAAATCCTAGAAGCCTACAGGACGCCGAATGTGCAAAATCATAAGAGATCCACACCTAGACACATTATAATGAAGATGCCCAACATACAGAATAAGGAGAGAATTTTAAAAGCTACAAGAGAAAGGAAGTAGATTACATTTAGGGGTAAGCCAATCAGGATAACAGCTAATCTTTCAACACAGACTCTGAAAGCTAGAAGATCCTGGAATAACATATTTCAAACACTGAAAGAAAATGGGTTCCAACCAAGAATTGTGTATCCAGCGAAATTAAGCTTCAGGATGCAAGATGAAATTAAAACCTTCCACGATAAACAAAAGTTTAAAGAATTCCCAGCTAGAAAACCATCTCTTCAAAACATCCTTGGCAAAACATTACAGGAGGAGGAAATGGAAAATAACAATGAAAACCAACAGTGGGAGGTAGGACAGTAAAGGGGGGAAATAATCAAAGAGGAAAACAAACCATGTTTAGTAACATAAATAAACAAATATGGCTGGAAGAACAACCCATATCTCAATAATAACCCTAAATGTTAATGGCTTAAACTCACCAATTAAGAGACACAGGCTAGTAGAATGGATCACAAAACAAGACCCAACAATATGCTGCCTACAGGAGACGCATTTGATAGGAAAAGCCATACATAGGCTGAAGGTGAAAGGTTGGGAAAAATCATATCACTCATATGGACTTCGGAAACAAGCAGGAGTGTCCATACTCATATCAAATAAAATAGATTTCAAGCCAAAGTTAATCAAAAGGGATAAAGAGGGACACTACATACTGCTTAAGGGAACCATCCACCAACAAGACATAACAATCATAAATATTTATGCCCCAAACAATGGTTCAGCTATGTTCATCAAACAAACTCTTCTCAAGTTCAAGAGTCTAATAGACCACCATACCATAATCATGGGAGACTTCAACACACCTCTCTCACCACTGGACAGATCTTCCAAACAAAAGTTGAATAATGAAACTATAGAACTCAACACAATTAATAACCTAGACTTAATTGACATATATAGAATATACCACCCAACATCAAGCAGTTACACTTTTTTCTCAGCAGCACATGGATCCTTCTCAAAAATAGATCATATATTATGTCACAGGGCAACTCTTAGACAATATAAAGGAGTAGAGATAATACCATGCATCCTATCTGATCATAATGGAATGAAACTGAAAATCAACTATAAAAGAAGGAAGGAAAAAGCATACATCACTTGGAGAATGAACAATAGGTTACTGAATGATCAATGGGTTATAGAAGACATCAAGGAGGAAATTAAAAAATTCTTAGAGATAAATGAAAACACAGACACAACATATCGGAATCTATGGGACACACTGAAAGCAGTTCTAAGAGGAAAATTCATTGCTTGGAGTTCATTCCTTAAAAAAAGAAAAAACCAACAAATAAATGATCTCATACTTCATCTCAAAATCCTAGAAAAAGAAGAGCAAAACAACAGCAAAAGAAGTAGAAGGCAAGAAATAATTAAAATAAGAGCTGAAATTAATGAAATCGAAACAAAAGAAACAA